ATTGTGTCTGGGATTGGGACTGGGATTGGGATTGGGACTGGGATTGGGATTGGGACTGGGATTGGGACTGGGATTGGGATTGGGACTGGGATTGGGATTGGGACTGGGATTGGGATTGGGGATCAGGTGGGACAGATCCCACGGGAAGGATGGAGAAGTCCAGGGAAAGCCATTCCTTGAGGAAAAGCATGGGGATATTTGGATAAAAGGTGGGGATATTTGGGATTTTGCCATTATTTGGGAATAACAAGAGGGAACAGAGTTTTGCCAGGGGAAGTTCAGGCTGGAATTAGGAACAATTCCCTCATGGAAAAGGCGCTCCAGGGGTGGAATTCCCGTTCCTGTAGGGGTTAAATCCATGTGGATGCGGCACTTGGGAACCTGGATCGGGGGAATGGTTGGGCTCCAGGAGATCCGAGGAGTTTTCCGACCCCAACGATCCCACAATTCCATGAAAAGATTGGAGATCAGAGTCCCAGCCACAGGCTCAGAGGATTTTCAGTGGATTGTGGGGAGCAGGGATTTAGGGAATGTGAATTCCCAGGGGCCCGAGTTCCATGCGGAAAACTCCGGCTCCAGGGAGGAAAATCTCCCGTTCCCGCCGCTGCCAGGCCTTTCCTTGGATTTTTGACCCTTTTCCCAGCCTCTTTTCCAAGGAAGGTCCCGTGGCCCGGCTGGATCCCAAACAATTCCCGGCCAAACCCTCTCCAGAACATTCCAGGACAGGTCGGACGGGGCTCGGAGCAAGCCGGGAGAGCGGGAAGCGTCCCATGGAATCGGAGACCCTTCCGTGCCCCTTCCCAGCGGAATCATTCCGTCATTCCCCTTCCCCTCGGACGGAGGAAATTCCCAGCTCCGTGTTTGTCTCCAGGAGCCCAGGACGGGATTTTCCGTGGGAAATCCGAGCCCTCCGGCACCGAAGGTGTCCGTGAACATTCCCGGTTTTCCAAGGAAGCTGGGGCTGTCTCTCCCTGCGCTTCCCAGCTGGATGTGATCCCGTTATCCCACACCATCCCCTGCCCGTGGTTTTCCAGCTGGGATTGACCCAGCTCAGAATTCCAGGACTTGGCCGCATCCAAATCCAGAGGCTTGGCTTAAAATTCCAAACCTCCGGAGAGCCGCAGCCACAGAGACGATTCCCTGATTTCCCTCTCCCCTTCGCTTCCCTTTTCCAAGATTCCGGGTGACAAACCCGGAGGGCGAAGCCGTTTTCCTGGGCTTTTCCTGGAATCCCGCCAGTCCCGCCGCTCCGGGAGGTGGGAATTGAAGGATTCCCGGTGCCGGAGGTTGTTGTTGTTGTTATTCCTGGAGCTCATCCCGAATCCCTCGCTCCGGGATCCGCCGGCCAACAACAACATCTGAACAATTCGCGGCGAGGAATCGCTGGGAGCGGCCTCGGAATTCCAGGAAAATCTTCCTCCGGCCTTTCCCAGCCCTTGGAGAGCAGCTGGGGGGATTTGGGGATGGGAAAGGGCGGAGTTCACGTCCCTTCCTGCCACGGATAACGGGATAAACTCCGGGAAGGAGGGGTGGGAACAGGGAGCTGATCCATGTTTCCTACCCGTCCGGGGAGATCCTGGGATTTGGGATTCGACCGGGAATTCCCAAATGTCTGCCAGGAGGACGAGGGGGAAACAAGCCTGAGGCAGCAGGATCCCGGGGAATGCGTGTGCCGGGATGAGCCGGGGCATTCCCGAGGGGAATTCCGGGAATTCCCAAGGGGCTTTGCCATCCCTGCACTCACCAAAATTTGGGAAAGGGGAGGCGGGAGCCTTGGGAAGTGCCGGGATAACGCCCTGCCCGCATCCCATCGTCCTGATCCCAGGAAATCCCGGCTGGGCACGAGCGACGGGAACAATTCCAGCTCCGGGCAGGAGCTTCCCGAACCCCTCCGGAGCCTCGGCATTCCCAGCGTTCCATCCTCAACCCCTGCGGCAATTCCAGCCTCCCCGAGATCCAATCCCAGCCGCTCCTGGTGCTCCGTGCGCAGCCAGAAGGATCCCATGGATCCCAGAAGAGATCCCAAGGATCCCAGCCCGGATCCCACTGATCCCAGAAGAGATCGCAACTATCCCAACCTAGATCCCACTGATCCCAGAAGAGATCACAACTATCCCAACCTGGATCCCACTGATCCCAGAAGAGATCCCAAGGATCCCAACCTAGATCCCACTGGTCCCAGAAGAGATCCCAAGGATTCCAGCCTAGATCCCATGGATCCCAGAAGAGATCCCAAGGATCCCAGAAGATATTCTAGCTATTCCAGCTGGAAGGATCCCAAGGGTCCCAACCTAGATCCCAAGGATCCCAGCAGAGATCCCAACAGTTCCAGCTGGGAGGATCCCACATATCTTAGCCTAGACCCCAAGGATTCCAACTTGGATCCCAAGGATCCCAGCCGAGATCCCAAGGAGCTCCTCAGAATTTTGCCGGATCCCAACTTTCCCTCCCCTGGAGGGCCTGGGAAACCCTCCCGGGCAGGAATTCCAAGGATGCCGGGCCCGGCCTCACCTGCCAGGACGAAGATTCCCACCAGGATGAGGGGGACCAGGAGGTAAAGGCCCAGCACGGAATATTTCAGCGCCGCCGCTGAGCCCAGCCGGCCGCAGCATCCCGAGCTCTTCGCCTTCCGGCCGGGATCTGCGGGATAGAGCGGGAGGGGGCTCAGCGGATCCCTGGGAATGCCGCGGGAACGGTCGGGATCGGCCCGGCCGGGGTGGGGAGGCACGAGGGGCTCCGGCCTTGGGAGCGTCCGAGGAAATGTTGGATGGGGTTGGAGCAGGCTGGGATAGGGGAGGGGTCGGGAGTGGGATGGGATCCAAGGTCCCTTCCCACCCAAAGCATTCCAGGATCCTCGGGAGCTGCTGGGATGGCTCCAGGCTGGAATTCTGCTTCCCCGACAGGCAAATCCCACGGGATGCAGCTCCAAGGAAAACTCTGAGCTCCAGGGAATCCTGGGAGCCGCTTCCCGAGGCTCCAGGGGCTCCGGGAGAGCTGGGATTTGGGAAAGGGCCGCAGGGCCAGGAGCCAGGGAATGGCTTCCCACTGGGAAAGGGGAGCTGGGGCTGGGAGCTTGGGAAGGAATTCCCGGAGAATCCCTGGGATCAATCCCCAAGGAATGGCTGGAGCAGCCTGGGATAGGGGAGGGAATGGGATGAGATTTAAAATCCCTGGATCCCATCCCAAACCATCCTGGGATTCTGGGATCGAGGACACTCAGGATCCATCCCGAGGGATTTTTATGGAATTCAGGGATGGGAAAGGGAAGGGAGACCCTTCCTGGAGTCCTGAGATTCCCGGTGAAGCCCCTGGATCCCAAAATTCCTTCTCCAGGAGGAGTCGGGATGGGGCTGGATCCAATCCCGGGCTGGGAGAGCCGGGAATGTGCAGCCGGATCAGGGAAGGATCCCGGGAATGCTGGGAGCCGCTTCCCGAGGCTCCAGGGGCTCCGGGAGAGCTGGGATTTGGGAAAGGGCCGCAGGGCCAGGAGCCAGGGAATGGCTTCCCACTGGGAAAGGGGGGCTGGGGCTGGGAGCTTGGGAAGGAATTCCCGGAGAATCCCTGGGAGCGTCCCAGGAAAAGCTGGGATGGGCTTGGAGCAGCCTGGGATAGGGAAAGTTGAGCTTTAAGGTCTCTTCCCACCCCAACCATTCCCTGCTGGATCCTGGCAGGAGCAGCGGATTTCTGGGAGCAGCTTTTCCCAGCATTCCAGAGCCTCCCGGATTCCCCAAATCCCAGTTTCCCCCAGGAGACACCGGCAGAAGGAGGGGGAGAAGCCCAGAATTCCCAGACGGATCCGCGGGTTCCTCCTTCCCGGTGTTTTGTGCTCCTTGGAGCTCCGGGGCTCCGATCCCACGGGAGAGGAGGAACCTCAAATCCAAACCCCCGGTGGAGACAGCGCTGATCCATGGCCGGATCCATGGAGCATTCCAGCCGGGATTTGGGATCTCATCCCACGGCAATTCCCAGCTCCAGCCTGGATCATCCCAGCCGGGATTTGGGATCTCATCCCACGGCAATTCCCAGCTCCAGCCTGGATCATCCCAGCCGGGATTTGGGATCTCATCCCACGGCAATTCCCAGCTCCAGCCTGGATCATCCCAGCCGGGATTTGGGATCTCATCCCACGGCAATTCCCAGCTCCAGCCTGGATCATTCCAGCCGGGATTTGGGATCTCATCCCACGGCAATTCCCAGCTCCAGCCTGGATCATTCCAGCCGGGATTTGGGATCTCATCCCACGGCAATTCCCAGCTCCATCCTGGCCCATCCCAGTGGGATGGAACCGCTCCTTGGAATTCCGCCCTGGAACGCATGGATCAGGGGATCCCGGCATTCCCATCCCTGTCCTTCCCAAGCTCCATCCCGGGAAAACCGGGATGCTTGGAAAAGCCTCCAGCCGGGAAAGGCTCACGGTGGGCGGATCCCGAAACTCCCGAACCTTTGGAGCCGGGAATGCGCTCCGGGATCGAGGGGAGCGATCCCGAGGGAATCCGGGAAGCTCCGCCGGGATCTCCTCCCCCGCTTCCCACGCCAGAATTCCCGGCGCCATTCCCGGGATGAGGAGAGCGCCGATGTTTTCCCGACTTTTCGCCCTTCCCGCGGGTCCCGATCCAGCCGCTGCCATTCCCGGCCCCTGGAAGCGCGGCCGGGAGGGTTTGCCCATGGAAAGGGCCGGGATCCAAGGAAAAGCGAACATTCCCTGCCCAGGCTCCGGGGAGCCGGGATTTGGGGTCCCCGAATCCCTGGAAAAGGGCCGGGAATGCCGATCCCGGGCGAGCGGAAGGTTTGGATCCCTCTCCCGGTGGATCCTCGGCTCTCCCGGTGGGAATTTCCCAGGAATTCGGGCGGGATCTGGGTGCTCCCGTGCTCAGGGATGGCTTCGCTCCCGCCCCTTCCCAGAAATCCCGCTCCAGAGGCTTCTCCCGTGGGAATGGCTCTCCCTGGAGGGTCAGCCCCGCCTTGGGACCAGCCCTGAGAATTCCAGGCGGAATTCCATAAAATTCCCAAAGCCAGGGGGGTTCCTCCAGCCTTTCCCAGGGACAGGGATTTGCTGGGAATTCTGGGATCAGTCCTGAACTCTTCCCTCCCGGCTTTTCCAGCTGTTTGCCGGTGGGAAAGGCTGGGAAGAGCAGGGATATCAACCTTTGGGAATGGGATCCACACCCAGGGATCTCCTGGATGGGAAATTCCCGATCCTCTGGATCTACACCCACAGAATTCCCCTTGGAATCACCTCGCTGAGCCCCTCGCGGCATTCCCAGAAGGAATTTATCCGGAGCTGGATGTTCCCAGCCCCTCCCCACCCCCCCGGCCGGGAATTCCTTCCCAAGCTCCCAGCCCCAGCTCCCCTTTCCCAGTGGGAAGCCATTCCCTGGCTCCTGGCCCTGCGGCCCTTTCCCAAATCCCAGCTCTCCCGGAGCCCCTGGAGCCTCGGGAAGCGGCTCCCAGCATTCCCTGGATCCCTTTTCCCGATCCAGCCGCACATTCCCGGCTCTCCCAGCCTGGGATTGGATCCAGCCCCATCCCGACTCCTGGAGAAGGAATTTCGGGATCCAGGGGCTTCACCGGGAATCTCGGGACTCCAGGAAGGGTCTCCCTTCCCTTTCCCATCCCTGAATTCCATAAAAATCCCCCGGGATGGATCCTGAGTGTCCTGGATCCCAGAATCCCGGGATGGTTTGGGTGGGAAGGGACCTCAAATCCCATCCCAGGGACACCTCCCACCATCCCAGGCTGCTCCAAGCCCCATCCCAGCTTTCCTTGGATGCTCCCAGGGCCGGGGGAGCCGCAGAATCCCTGGAAAAGCCGTGCTGGGGCCTCCCCGGGAGCATTCCGGCTGCTGCTCCCGTTCCCGGGGCCGGGAATTCCGGAGCTGGAGCTCCTTCCCGAAACATCCCAGCTCCGGGAGCGCTCCCTGCTCCCATTCCCTCCGTGGGGCCGGAGCGGGATCCAGAGGTGGATCCGGAGCGGGATCCAGAGGGGATCGGGAGTTGAATACAAAGGTGGATCCCAAGTGGATCCCAAGTGGACCCAGAAGGGGATTCGGAGGTGGATCCAGAGTTGAAGACAAATGTGGATCCCGAGTGGATCTGGAGGCAGATCCAGAGGTGAATCCAGAGGTGGATCCGGAGTGGATCCGGAGGTGAATCCAGAGGCAGATCTGGAGTGGATCCAGAGGTGGATCCGGAGTGGATCCACAGGCAGATCCAGAGTGGATAAGGAGTGGATCCAGAGGGGGATCCAGAGGCAGATCCAGAGGTGAATCTGGAGTTGAAGACAAAGGTGGATCCAGAGGCAGATCTGGAATGGATCCAGAAGGGGATCCAGGGTGGATAAGGAGTGGATCCCGAGTAGATCCAGAGGTGGATCCTGGATGGATCCGGAGGTGGATCCCGAGTGGATCTGGAGTGGATCTGGAGGTGGATCCTGAGCTGATCCCGAGTGGATCCCGACTGGATTGGGAGCAGATCCGCCCTCACCGTCCTCGCAGAGGTTCAGCCTGGAGAGGCTCCTTCCCTCCAGGGGCTCCTCGGGGGCGGCTCCACTGCGGCGCTCGGAGAAGGTGCGCAGCTGCAGCGCCTTGCTCTCCATCCTGCGGGAAAAGCGGGAATGTCCCACCAGATCCCGGCCTGGCACGATCCCGATCCCGGCTCATCCTGCCCGGCTCCGGCTTCGGGATGGAGCAGGTGAGGCCCCACCTGGAGAGACCCCGGAGCGGCTCCCGGGACTGGGAGAGCCGGGAATGTGCAGCCAGATCGGGAAAAGGGATCCCGGGAATGCTGGGAGCCGCTTCCCGAGGCTCCAGGGGCTCCGGGAGAGCTGGGATTTGGGAAAGGGCCGCAGGGCCAGGAGCCAGGGAATGGCTTCCCACTGGGAAAGGGGAGCTGGGGCTGGGAGCTTGGGAAGGAATTCCCGGAGAATCCCTGGGAGCTCCCCAGGAAAGGCTGGATGGGGTTTGGAGCAGGGACAGATCCATGGATTCTGTGTTCCCTGGGATTGTTGTCCCCTCCACCCCAGCTGAAGCATTCCCAGCTCCTGGTCCCACTTCCAAGGGGAAAACCCCATCCGTGAATTCCAGAGGGGGCTCTCAAATCCCCCCGGGAACGAGGATGGCGGGAACAGGGGCAGGAGCATCCCGGGGGAGCGGGGTACGGAGAAACCCCCGGC